TGACCTCCACGAATTCGCACGATGATAAAAGATAAGATTAGATAAAGATAACAAGATATTCGTCATTAATTAAAAAATTCAATTGTCAAATTAGTCGTACTAATTATATCAATCACTGTCAATCAGAAAAAATTAGAGATAAAATAACATTATTATGCTCTTTATCTTTCACCTGTGCAAAAAATTATCTTTTCTATATAAAGGTGAAAATTTTGATTTGAAGACGTTCAATCAAATTTTTGATTGGAAATATTGTTACGATAAATTTTGATATTTAGTGATAAAAATGAAGTTTGGAATATTTTTGGTGTCATTTTATTTTGCTGCAACTTTTGTCAGCAGCAAATCTGTGTATCAACCAAAGCCTATTATTGACCTTAATGCAGTGGTAAGTAATTGATAAAAAAAACAAGATTCGTTGTTTTCTTAAATAGTTTAGAAAATACCTAGAGATCGACTAAACATTCATAATTGTTTAGCACGTCCTACAAAATTGTGAAATATTGTGAAGAAAGTGCTACTATTGCCTAATAACCAACTATGTTCATTAATGTTAGAACAACGAAAGATTTCACAAACCCCCAAAAAATTCTGCAAATTTGCTTTGGTTAGTTTCCACGTAAAATATTTCTCAAACTATATTTTTCTCCCAGGAGAAAATAATTGCAGCCGAAGGCTACCCAAGTGAAACCTACAATGTGACCTCCGAAGATGGATACATCTTAACAGTCCACAGAATACCCTTCAGCCCTTCCAAAGGCCAGCCAACAAAGGGCGTAGTTTTCCTGCAACATGGTCTTTTGTGCAGCTCCGCCGATTGGGTTGTCATGGGCAAACAAAAAGGCCTAGGTAACGGAAATATATACTATATCACTATATACTATATAAACATCTCGCATAACATGATAATAATATGCATGTTGTTCCAGGTTTTATTTTATCTGACGAAGGTTATGATGTATGGCTGGGCAATGCAAGAGGCAACACATTCTCCAAGAGACATATAACTTTGGATCCTAAAAAAGATGCCAGAAAGTTCTGGGAATTCAGGTACGACTTAAACACCATCATGCCCAAAATATTTACTTAGGAACTTAAAAAACTATGTTTACTAGTTTAATATTTAACTAGTTGGCATTGGTATTTTGCCTTGAGGCAAGTTACATGAACTTCCCGATTTGTGTAAACAATCGACTTAATCCATGATAGATAAATTAATTTATGAGTGATTAAAAGTATTCGAAGTGAATTTATTACCCATTATTAAAAATCGAACACGGCAACCCGGTCAGAATATTTTTTAAAAGCAAATTTTCAAAAATCAATAATTTTCATAATTGAGACAGTTTTTTGTAAGACTTTAATTGTTTAGTATGTTCATTAAGACCAAGCATTTATCGTTATACCAGGTAAATCATCTAATTTTAATTTTAACAAATGTCAAAAGAACTACTCATTTTCTCAAACTTTGATGAATTTTCAAAATTGAACTACTTGTCGTAAGGCCGTAATATTTTAATAAGTTCTATGAGATAGACATGATCGCCCAAAAAAGTTCCATGAAAATCGGCTTAAATTTTTTTTTCAACAGTTAATTACAAGAAAACGGCTCGGTAGATTTTCACCTAAATATCATTCCCAACTAATATCTTTCGAACAGTTTTTGATTTCTTAAAATCGATTCGGTAGTATGAGCTTAAATGTGGACGAAAAGTTTAACACTTTCTTCCAAATTACAAAGAAACAGCTAGGCTGATCATCGCACAAAACTGAGAAACGATAATCCTCATTGATTTACATCAAATGGTTTTTGAATTTCTGAAATCGGTTCAGGCGTTTTTGAGCAAACGTCGATGAAAGCTTTAATTTTGACAAATGCCAAAAAAAACCAATTTTTGCAAACTTTGACGAATTTTTAAAGCTAAACGAGTTGTCGTAGGGCCGTAATATCTTAGTATGATCTAGAAGACTATGGTTTCTACCGTCAAAAAAATAATCATGAAAATCGTCGAATTTTTTTTTTTAACCTTATTACAAGAAAACGGCCCGGCCGATCTTTACCAAAAACTAATCAGCACGATTCCCAACCAATATCTTTCGAACGGTTTTTGAATTTTTAGAATCGATTCAGAATTGCAGGCTAAAACGTAGACGAATAATTTTTCACTTTCCTGCGATTTATAAAGAAACGGCTCTGCCGATCGTCGCACAAAACTGACAAACAATAGTCCTCATCGAGATACATCAAATGGCTTTTAAATTTTTGAAATCGGTTCAGCCGTTTTTGAAAAAACGCCGATTTACGACAAAAAATCTGTTCACATACACGCACACACATACACACACACACATACTTTTTCCATAATTTGGTTTCATTCGATTCAGAATGGCTTGAAACGTCGAGAAAACATAAAATTAGCGAATCGGATTTTTTGATGAAAACATAAACTTCTCCTTCGGGAAGTTAAAAAATCAACCCTTCTTTTTCCATCAATTACTATCTATAATATTTTTTTTTTTCAGTTGGAACGAAATCGGTATGTACGATTTACCAGCTATGATCGACTTCGTGTTAAAATCCACTGGTGAATCCAAATTGAACTACGTTGGTCACTCTCAAGGAACAACATCGTTCTTTGTGATGGCTTCTGAAAGGCCAGAATACAACAATAAAATCAAATCTATGCAAGCTTTGGCACCTGTTGCTTTCATGTCCCACATGAACAGTCCAGTTGTTAGAATTTTGGCACCATTTGTTTTCAACTTGGAGGTAAATATAATTCATACTCAAAGACAACGTACATCAATGTTCTAATTATTTTTTTAATGTTTTTGTAGTTCCTCACCAGTGTAATTGGTTTACACGAATTTCTGCCAACAAGTGACTTTTTGGCAGGTGTTGCTGATGGATTGTGTAATGATGGACAATGGACTCAAGAGATTTGCTCAGGGGTTCTATTTTTACTATGTGGATTCAATGAGGAACAACTGAACTCTGTAAGTAACAAGATCACTAACCAGATAACACAGCCAAAATTCAGATCAACTGGACAGATTTTTAATAAATTGATACTAATACTTTAATTTTTATCAAAAAACTTAAACTTCTGTCAACTAATTTTTTTTGAGCCTACTCCAGAAAATTCAAATTTGGGCTAGAATTTTAGAAACTTTATTTTGAAGTCAAATTTCAAATCAAAATGAGGTCAAAAGATCAAATTTGAATTTTGTTTTCATTCGAGAAGTTGGTCATTGACTTGACAAATTTTTAATAAACCAATACCTAATTTTTCATCCAAAAACGGTTCTGGTCATTTTTTACATCTTTTATCAACTAATTTTCTTCAAACCTACTACTGAAAATCGAAATTTGGCCGATAATTTTAGAAACTTTATCTTTCATTCAAGAAGTTGGTCAACACCTTACCAATTATTCAAACAAATCCAATATTTTTAACAACAAGTTATCAGAAACTTTTATAAATATAGATTTCATCTGTTTACAGACTGCTTTACCAGCAATTCTCCAAAATACACCAGCTGGTGCATCTACAAAACAGTTGGTCCACTATGGACAAGAAGCCAATTCAGGTAAAGACATTTTGGAAATACTTTTATCATAATTCGGAGTAATTTTAAAGTACACCAAGTTGCTGTAGGTGAGTTAAATAACTCACAAATATCAAGAGGGAAAGCAGCCCCTTTCAGTTAGATAGAAAAAAAACTAGATAAAATTTACTACAATTTCATGCTATCAGTTATATACACTCCGATATAAAAATTTGGAATAAAACGACTATGAATTCGATCTTTCATTATTCTTTGGAAATAAATAGAAAATTCGGGACATTTTTTTGGTTTTTGTCAAATAACTCACAAATATCATATGAAAGCACCTCTTTTCAGTTAGATAGAGAGAAACTAGATAGAATTTACTACGATTCCATGCAAACAGTTATATACACTCCGATATAAAAATTTGGAATAAAACGACTTTGAATTCGATCTTTCATATTATTTAGCATCAAACGGTTTATGATCTACACACAATGCAAACTATAAATGCACTGTTGGTCAACCAAATAATATCTTTATTAAGTAAATCTTTTACTTTTAGCTAAATTTCGCAAATTCGACTTCGGTTGGTTCAAAAATTTGAAAAAATACAACCAAACAAGTCCACCAGATTACGATTTGAAAAAAGTCACGACTCCTGTAGCTCTGCACTATAGTGACAACGACTGGATGGCAAATCCAAAGGTAAAATCCAAAATAAAATCAAATGATCCTATCCAATTGGTATAATTATTTTTTTTATTTAGGATGTTGATATTTTACACAACCTGTTGGCAAACTCTTTGGGCAAATTCAAGGTTTCGGATCCGAAATGGAACCATTTGGATTTCACTTGGGGAAAAGATGCTGATAAGCTTTTGTATCCAAAAGTTATCAGTTTGTTGAATAGATTCGCTTAGATGGAGAAAATTGTTTATAACAATTGTTGACAATTTTTAATATTATATATTAAATTTATAATAAATGCATTTGTATGAAAAATACCAAGGTTTTATGATTTATGATTGCCTTATGATGGCTAGAAACTGTTAGGTAACAAATATAATTATAGTAGCTTTGGTGTCTATAATTATATAAATTTACAACAAAAAACTGGAAAATAATTGTTTTAACTATTTTACTTTCCAGAAACAAAATTTTTCAGAGTAAGATTTTTATTACGAATTTTATACCATTTGTTGTTAAATGAAGATGAAGAGAATTACATTTTTTCAGTTTTGTGAATTTAATTATTTTTATAACTTAGATGTACAATGTTAGTCTGAGAAAGACGAAGTCTAGATAAAATTTCATGTAAAATAGTATTATAGAAATTTTTATATTTTTGAAAGTTTTTGAAAACCACAATTTAGCTTTTAGGTTTGTCTTTAAATCCATGAGAGTAAAATTTTATATTATCAATTTTTCACTATGTGAAAAAATTACATTTTTTAGTTTTGGGAATACAACTACTTTCATAATTTAGATACACAATTTTTGTCTAAGAAAGATTAATTCCAGATAAATTTAACTATAAAATTCTATTATCAAACTTTTTATAGAATACTCAACAAAGTTTTTACAAGCTTTGCAAATCCAATATTTTAGTATTAAATATTTTTAGTACTTTAATATTTTTTTAATACTTTTTTATTTTTATTTTAAATTTAATTTAATAAAATGTATTAATATTCAAGTAAAGAATTTTGCAATTTACAGGAAAGTTAATTTTATAAAATTACTACAAGAATAAATGAAATATAATATGAAATTAGTAGATATAGTTTAAAATTTAAAACATAGATGTACTTACTATTTATTTTTGCAAAAAATTGTTGTTAACGTGAATAATTGTTCGTAAAATTATTTTATCACGAATAAATGCAATATTGTAAAATATATTTAATTTATTTTAACAACAATGAAGACCTTTTGAGAATAAATTAATAAAATATAAAATTTATTAAACTAATAGAAAATAGTCGGATAAGTAAGGTCAAAATTTGTTATTAAAGTAAAATATTATTTATAAATTTTTTAAATTTGGGAATAATTATATTATTTATTAGACACATAATTTAGCAATATTTAAATTGATTTCGATATTTTATTCAATTATTAGAATAATATTTATTTCATTTATTTAATTTAGGTCAATGGACCATATTATGATACGTAAAGTTCATATTTAATATCAAACAAATATTTTGTTGTAATTTTGTTCTTAATTTTCTTAACAAAACTTTTAAGAAAAAACATAAAATAAAAAAAGGCCTAGCAAAGTAATTTAAATTTATTTGCGTATTTGAATTTAAAAAAATCTAAGCGTAAATTTGCTAATGCAATGACAAAATTTCATACAACTTTATATTATTTATTTGTTTATTTATACTTTTATGGTCGGAAAAATATCACAAGTTGTAAATATTTTGAATTTGTTTGTAAACTCCGTAATTTGTTGACATTGCATGATTTTCACACTGCAATCATCTTTTACGTAAGTAATTTATTTATTTATATATATTTATTTTTATATATATAATTTATATAGTAATAATAATTGATGAATGAATATAACAAATTATTTTCCGGTATTGTTCATAATGTTTCCATGAATAACAAATGATTTAGTTGTGATTTTTTAAAAGTTGTTTTCAATGTCGACAACTTGGATAGTAAAACGTAGTTGTTAATAAAATTTGTTAATTAAATTAACCAAATTTATTTCCGCGTTATTAGTATATGCATAAAATTACACCCAGATTTATTAATACAAATTTTGTTTAGTACAACATTTTATTTAATGTAGAATTGCACCTAAAATCATAAACTAATATGCACTTAAGGGTCAAAACTTTTTTTAATCTTTTCGTTTAATTCGCAATATCTAATTATATCAAATAGTGTCATCCGACAAATTGATTAATAGTATTATTATAACAAATTTATTTTTAGCGGTTGAATTTTAATGGTAGGAAATTTTATTTTGTCAGAATCAAAAATGCCGAAGCGCGTGTTCGGAACAGGATTTTGTTTTTATTTTAAAATTCATATTTATCTGCGTGTTTACTAATCGAGAAATTCACTAATGATAATATATATATATATATATATATAAATATATATATATATATATATATTATTTATATATACACGTTTGGACATTATGATAATTCTACCTTTACCGATTATTAATACTTGTCGTTGGGATTTTCCTTACAAATACATATACATATATATATATACATATATATATATACATATATATATATATATATATATATATATAAATACGTTGAAAAGGAATTTACAGGACATTTAAAAAAAAAGATACTAAATTCCTTACATTTTGATTCCTGCATTCGAAACGACTTCAGTGAATAACCTCTTGAAATATAAATACAAAATTCTTCATTGTGCTACATTTAATATTCAATATTTCCTTTGATTTTTTAATTGCTGATTGTAAATTCAATAGGTTTTTAAAATCCATAAAAAACAATAAACGAAACTAGCTTGATATTTATGAGTAATTTGAGAAAAATCAAAAAAATGTCCCGAATTTTCTATTAAATGCTAAAGAAAATGAAAGGTCGAATTCAAAGTCGTTTTATTCCAAACTTTTATATCGAGGTGTATATAACTGTTAGTATGGGATCGTAGTAAATTTTATCTAGTTTCTCCCTATCTGACTGAAAAGGGGTGCTTTCATATGATATTTATGAGTAATTTGACAAAAACCAAAAAAATGTCCCGAATTTTCTATTAAATGCTAAAGAAAGTGGAATTTTGCCTTAAGCCCAGCTGCATGAATTTCCCAACATGAGTAAATAATTGAGTTAATCAATAAAAAATCAACATATAAGTGATTTATAAGTTATAATTTATATTAATTCTCATAATTAAACCGCTTTTCGTAGGTCTATAATATTTAAGTATTATCTATAAGACCAGGTATTCTATATAAAAAAATTCGACTTCGAACTCTATTATCATAATTTATCAATTTAATCCAAAAGTCTAGATATAATCGATTTAAAAAAATACGCAAAAAATTATGATGTAACTTATCTTATATTTGTCAATCTTTTTACTTAGAACTTTGATCTCTTCACTCTACTTAATAATCAATCGATAAAATTGATAAGAAACGAAAAGTGTCACAAAAATCGTATCAGCTGAAAATGATTTACAATTTTGTAACACTGAACTTTGACGTTTACCCATTTTTATCAAAACATAGGCAAAAAATTATACACATGTGTAAATAAAATGTCATATGAATCTCTTTTTAGCTAAAATATACTACATCGTTTCGTAATAAATAAGATGACATAATTTCTTTACTCTACTTAGATAGTTTTGCGCATTTTTCAATAATGGAACCAAAAATTTCTAGGTTTTTAATTTCGATAACTTTTTTGTACCCTAGTTTTTGTTCTGAAATAAAAAAATCTTGTAAATAAAATTACTGACTCAGTTCATAAAGTTGATTGCTATGATTGTAAAGTTTGTTATATTGGGGAAGTTTGCAATATATTTTGAAAAAATAAATCAACATATTACTAAATAACTCAATACGTAGTATGAGCATGTATAGTATAATTCAACAAGCAAATTGACATGTCAGTCATATGAGTCTGACACTGATAAAAACTAACTTGACGAAAAAAAAGTTTTATAATAGGGCCATGTCAGTCTTATACGTGTTATACAAAAAATAATGTTTTTCCAGAAACTTTGTCAAAAAGATTTTCCTTGATATATGTTTATTTAAATTATCTAATAAAGTTACCATGGCCTATATGAACATTTTTCTGATCGTGGCGATTAATGTGTTAAAACAAACTTTTATTACAATTTATCCTATCGTTTTATATAAAGAAAAATGTGGATTTGCAGAACCTTGTTTTATCCAAATATTTTAGAGCTTATAAACGTAGTTCTTTTTCTATACGTTTTGATAATTATCAAAATTCAATTAATGTTAATAAATTATAAATCTTATTCTTAATATTCGACCTTACTATAATTTTGTTTCAATATTTTTGTATTCTATATTTTAGTTTAAATAGTTTAATGCATAAATTATTTGTATATTTACTAATTTATAAAACGATTAGATTTTAATATGGTTTTATAGTTTTTTACAAAGTATATTGGTGACCCCAAAGTGATAAAACAAGAAAATATTTCCCTTACAATTAGATGTGAGAAAAAATTCATTTTTGCTTAGAAAATGCACACAAAAAACTTTATATATATTTATAAATAAATATACATTTATATATATACATATATAATTTTCATATATATATATTTGTATATGTAGATATTTAAATATTTACAACGTTTATGTATATTTTTGCAGTTTCTGCTGAACGTGCAAATGTACGTACAAAAAAGCAATTCTATCATCAAGTTGAAATTCAAGACGTGCGACTGATTCAACAATTTTTTTATTGAACTCAGATTTAAATTTTAAATACAACCGAATAAACGATGTTCTTATTCACTATTAATAATATAATAATAAATAAATTGTATTAAAGAATGTGTATACCAGGGGTTATTCCAGATATTAATCCTAAATTAAAATTAAAAGTTTATCAGGATTTTTAATTAAAAAATTAGTTAGATATAAATAAATTTAAAGAATACGTTCTGAGGAAAAAATGGTGAGAACAAATTCTGCAAAAATGCAAAAACGTATTTCAGGGTATCTTCAGGGTTTTTATTAGGAGAACGTAAGTTCTGATATGTAAGTTATATCAATATTAATATATTTCATTATAAATTTATATATATATATATATATATATATACATATATTTATATAAATATAATTATATAGCTCTGCATTTTGTAGTTTAGCAACAAATTGCAGAAATCAGACAAAAAATGTAGATAATTATATAAA